AACGGGGGAGCGGGGGAAGAAGGAAGGGGGAAAGGGGAGGGGGAGAGGGGTCCGGTGATGGGTCAGCGATGGGGTCGATGATGGGGTCAGGGATGGGTCAATGATGGTCAGGGACGGGGTCAATGATGGGGGCAGTGCTGGTCAGTGATGGGTCCAGTGCTGGGGTCAATGATGGGCTCAGTGATGGAGTCAATGATCGGCTCAGTGATGGGGTCAGTGTTGGGGTCAATGATGGGGTCAGTGTTGGGGTCAATGATGGGGTCAGTGACAGGTCAGGGATGGTCAGTGATGGGCTGGGAGCCACTTGTTTGGGAGGTCCAGCCGTGGGGTGGGCGCAGTGATCAGCTGGGTGGTGCCATTCAGGTTTGTGCACTGTGTGTGGGTGTAGCATGGTTTGGAGTGATGGGGGGTGCAGGCAGGGTGGGCTGCCCTGTGCAGGGGTGCAGTCTGTTTTGGGTGCTGGGGGAGGTGCCCTGGACAGACGTGTCATTCATGCTGGGGAAGCAGAACCAGGCGCTGCGGTCGGCCGCGAGCCTGGGCTGCTTCCTGCCGCGCTGCCGCGCAGGCACTGACGGTGTGGGAGCCGGCAGCAGCAGGCAGGGTGAGTGTGAGCAGAGTGAGCGGCGGGGACAGCGGGCAGGGTGAGAGGTGGGCAGGGTGAGTGCAGGCAGAGTGAGCAGCAGGCAGAGTGGGCAGCCCCATGCCCCTGGGCAGGGCCTGGAGAGGGGCAGGCATAGGGAGGAACCAGGCACCCGGGTGGTTGAAGCTTGGTGCGGTACCGCAGGCAGAAGCGGCAGGAGGGCAGGCATGAGGGGGGCTTCCCCCTCCACTGGGGCCCCCCCCTCCAAGTGCAGAGGGGTGCTGGTGGGGTCCCAGCATGGGTTTGCTGGAGAGATGGAAGGAAAAGCATCACCCACCTGGGGGTGCTGATGGGGCCTCGGGGAGCTGGCGGGCCTCCAAAGCAGGGAATGCAGGCTGGGAGCTGGGGGCCTTGGCGCTGGGGGGGTGACTTTTGGGGGCACCCTGAGGGTAGGGGGGGGCAGGGCCAGGCCCTCCCCCCACCACAGAGGGAAGCAGGGCAGTTTGCTCAACCCCAGCTGGTGAGCCGGTGCAGCAGTTCCTCCTGCCCTATGCCTGCGGCTTGTCCTTCGCAAGGGGAATGGCTGCCACGCTGGGAGAAGGGTCCCTGCCGCTCACCAGTTGTGGCAGGGTCCTGCCCCCTCGGAGGCCAGCAGGGTCCCCCCTGAGCCCTCGCACTGGCGCGGCATGGCTGGGGTCTGCTCAGCTCCATGGCACTGCAGCCCTCTTTTGCAGGCCGGGGATGCATGTCTGATGAGCTGGCTGGCCTCAGGCGGGTGCCCAGGTGGCAGGAGCTGGTGGCAGGCCTGGGGAGGGGGCAAGGCCAGCCCTGTGCCTCCTGCCCCTGCCCCTCTGCTGGCTCGGCAGTGCCAGACCTGCCCACAGGTCTCGCAGCATGGGCACCTGGAACTGGAACCATGTGCCGCTCCCCTGCCGCGGTGCTGTCGTTTGACCTCGGACCCGCCGCTAACCCCTGCAAACCCATCTGGCCGTGCTGCTGGGGAGCCATGCCTGCGCCGGGGCCGGGGCAACACACGCAGCCCGTCCCCTGCAGCCTCTAAGCTATGGCCTACTTGGTCTCCTGTCAGTGAGAAGAATGGGCTCCATGTCGGAGGAACTCAGCCTGGTCCCTCTGCACCGGAGGCCGGAGCTGCTGGAGGCCTGCGCCAAGCTGCTGGGCGAGGAGTGGGGGAAGAGCCGGGCGTCGCGGCTCCACACGCTCCAGCGCTCCTCGGATGCCTTCCCCATCTGCCTGCTGCTGCTGCGGAGCCGGGGCCCTGCCGAGGCCCTCGCCGCCCAGGAGGGTCCCTGCCAGCTTGTGGGCCACGTCCGGCTCTCTCGCGTGGCCGGCCATCCCCGCGACCTTTTTGTGGAGAGCGTGGTGGTGGCCCGCGCGCTGCGGGGCCAGGGCTATGGGCGGCAGCTGATGGAGGCCACCGAACGGTGGGCCCGGGCCCGGGGCTTCAGCTGCCTTCATCTTACTACCCACGACAAGCAGCATTTCTATGCCCACCTGGGCTTTGTCCTGGGCAAGCCGGTGCAGAGCGTGGGGTTCCTCAGCCCCGCCATACCTGCTGAGGTGCTGCGGCTCTTCTCCGCCCCTCCTGGCACTGCCACTGCCACCGCCACCAGGCCAAGGGTGCCCTCTGTCCCCCCTCCTCCCCT